CCATTAAAAAAAAAAAAAAAATAATACAATGTAATCTGAAACTAAATGAAAGGGTGTTTACCAGAACTTAATGGTTATTTTATTGATATGCAATATGAATATGACTGAGCTATTCATAAACATATACAAGAGCAAAACACTTACAGCTAAAACATCATTGCTGTTCAGAGTGTCGATTAACACATTGGTCAAACCAGTCATGGTATTTGCAAGTAGGAAATATAACAACTGATTCCGGTTAACAGACTGTACGAGGCATAATGCATCCATATTTTTTCTCATTTTCTCATCTGGTAATGACTTCTTGTTTTGATATGGACACCACGATGCAGACACAAATGAAAAATTAGAGATGGCTTTAGATCCAGTCTTTAACCACATTTCTGCTCTGCATGAGGTAACGGCCAACCTGGACCCCAGCCATATAGATGGCGATGTAACCCACAACTGAGAAGATGCCCTCTCTGTTTGCCTGCAGAAAGCCTGTGCGCTCGTTATTGTGAATGAGGAAGGACTTCAGACCTGTTGTCTCCAAAACAACCTGGTAGGTTCCACCAATGAGAAGAGCAAGAAGCCATGAGGCGTCCACAGGAAAAAGAGCCAGAAGTGCGGACGCCACCACTCTGACGATGGCTAACGTGAAGAAGAAGTTCCAGTGAACTCCATACTCTGTCACATGCTCGTGGTAGCCTGATGATTTGACGCTCGCAAGTCTCACAAACCCTAACAAGACCAACGGCCAGACGGAAATCAACTGTTTAAACACATGACTGATCTTCGACCCTTGAATGTCCTTTCCTCTTGCTTCGGGACACACCAACGCATTGGCCATTACATACGCTCCGACGCCGAAATCCATCACCCCTGTTCCATACATCTCTGTTTTTGCATAACGTCTTGGGAAGACGCTAAAATCAACAGCCAAAATGCTTATGGCGGTCTTCATGTTGACCAGAACTCGAAACACGGTCACAAACGGGACCATGTTGGATTCTACTCTGCTTTGCACAAACCTGTCAATTGTACTGTAAAGGGAACCTTGAACGCTTGGATGCTTTCCGTTCTTGTAAATGAGGTATAGGACAACTAAGTCAACTACAGCGATGCCCATGATGACAAAGTGAAGGATGTCGCTCAGTGCGGTGCATGACAGGACCAGAGGCATTATTAGTGCTGTGAAGTCCAGCAGGAGATGGGATCCCCAGGAGAACGGAATAACCCCTTTTCCAAGGTGGAAGACTATCAGGAAGAGACCTCGGCTGAGAAAACACAGCGGGGCTAAGAGGGATCCCAGCGAAACCTCCGTAAGGGTCGTCCCATTGTGATTGCTGACAAATGCAACTTTTACTTCTGCCGATGCCATTGTCTGTAAAAAGAGACAAGTGTGAAAATAAGTGAAGTACAAACATAGACTGTTAGTTGATAACACACACATAGTGTGTGTGAGTATATATATATAAATCAGTTTAAAAAATTTGTGCACACTTTACTGATTTTACATTGTTATATTTTAAGATAGATATAGATTTTTATGACTTCATATGAGTTGAAATATTTTTAGGCCTAACTAAAAGACTACATGCAATACTTGTTTAAAATGCATTTTTCTAATATATTAACATACATAACTATTTTTTTTTTTATACTTTAAAACTATTTTATCTAATAGTTTATGACTTAATATTAGTTAATTAATTATATAATCGTATTAAACAAAAGGAATATTAGTTAAATTTTTTATAATTAGTATGCATGCGGTTTTTATGATCACATATTAGTTGAAATATTATTTAATTAAAAGACTATATTAAATATTTGCTTAAATATTAAGTCATTGTTTCTAATTCTTTTACAATTGCTTTCATACTGTTTTAGGGCTTAATTTTAATTAAAATTTAATTAGAAGACTTTTAAAATTCAAGCAGCATTTAAAATTCTTTTATAATTACTATGCATGCTGTCTATATGATCACATATTAGTAGGAAAATAATTTAATTAAAAGACTACATGAAACATTTGTTTAAAATGCATTTTTTAACATTCTTTTCCAATTATAGTTTCCTATTTTTTTAGATAGATAGATAGATAGATAGATATAGACTGTAGAAATACATACATGCATGCATGCATACATACATGCAACCACACACACACACACACCTCAGAATGACTAAATTAAATCACCTACAATATACAATTAGGATGCAGTGGAAGTTTTGATCTCAAAGGTTTATGTTCAAATAATTCCAGAGAGTATTAAAGCAATTCAATCAAGACACATATTTATTAAAGCTCTTTATAGTATGGATATTAGGAAATGTGACCTACCTCGTCCCGTGTGATGTGTGGACATTAGATAAATCAGGTTAGGTTAGACTAAACTGCAGAGATCAACATTACAGCAGTGGCCTGTCAGGATAAACCGGTTTAGTACACGAAACATGGACTCCCATATATCTATACTTACTGTACTTGTATCTCTTTATTAAATAGTAAAAATAAACATTCGTCTTACAAATCGTTCATTCTTCTGTAATAATCCTCACTTTATAACAAACTGTAGCCACAAATTGGGGTTGCGATGTTTCTTTTCCGCATTGGGCGTGGCTTACAGAAACGTCACTGTATGGGGCGGGACCTTTTCCTTGAGCCTAAAATGCGTGACGTCGCTGCGCGTGTCATTAGCCGCTGCTGGTGTGGTGGGAGTTTTGTCCTTCACTCACTGAGGAATTTTCATGGCTGAAGAAACAAAACATAACTCATAAAATATCAATCTAATGGCAGCGATATAACACATTAAATACAGCGAAACGTGTCTTCCTAAAGTTTACACTCATGGCGAATGTCAAACAGAAGCTTTTATTCAGAAATAAAGACGTTTCGACCGTTAACAGTTCTGACGGGACATTCAGGAGTTTGGAAAAAGCTGGAAGACCAAACCGCCAGAAGGAAAAGGTACACAAATTGTATTATTTACTGCTCATTTAACACTTTTTACCTCACTTTTTCTATCTTTATGCACATCAAAGTTTTAGATTTAAATTGTATTATCTACAAAAACAAGTTAAACTGACAAATTAACATGTTTATCTGAAAGCAGCCCGTTACAAAAATACTGTATAATGGTGGTTTATGTTCCATAGGTTCTGTAAAGAACACCGTGGTATTACAATGCTAACAGTTAATTTAACAGTTACATGCCCCAAAACGTCGTTAGTACGCATAAGTATTCATAATTTTCTTATTTCCCCATCACAGTTTAACGTAGGGCCTATATTTTTGTGACAAGAAATACATATACTACACGTTCAGAATTATATTCTCGAATTGCTATTCCGGTAATATTTATAATAATATTTTATTTTTAAGGGAAGTAACATGCTTGATTAATGCCACCCTAAACGGGTATTACTTAGATGACTAGGGACTAGTTTTCTATTGAGCTGTACAATAACTGTTAATAAAGTGATTTACTGTGATTTATTTCTAATCACTCAATTGAATTGGCTTGTTTTTCTGGTGTTCCCTCATTTGCATGTTCATTGGCGTGGCTCGTGTTGTCATTGTGGGATTAAGCAGCGGTGCAGTTAATCTGAAGAATATACTCAGATTATTCCGCAGGTCAACCTAATCTGAGCATGCGCAGAACCTGAACATTTCAGACGCGCCTTTTTTTGGCATAACAAAGTTATATGACGTTATTTCAAAGGGAACCTGCAACTTGTTTTGGAGTAAATGAAGACGTGTTTTTTTAGCACTATATTTTATATTGTCTGTGTTCATATGGTTTGATACATTCATTTAGTTGCAGCATCAAAGGTCACCCTCAGTTATTAAATTTGGTTTACTGTTAAGTGTGAATAATGCGGTTGGTTTGTTGTGCCATGCAGTGTTTCTCATGCCTGCAGCCCCTGGCGCAGATAAAGTCATCATCTGTTTTGTTCTGGGCCATTATGATTCATGCATTGACTCAAGTGTTGGAACGGAAAGTTCCTGACGGATTAAACTAGGATCAATTCTATGGGAATCTGTAATTGTCTCGTTACAAATGTTTCGTGTTTAACTGATCTGTGTGATCTCTGTACTAACCAAAGTCTCTTACCACTATTTGTTTTTAAGATGCTCTCCAGTCAATTCAGATTCCCAGTCTTGTTGTCGTTTGCCTGTGTTTGTTATTGGATTAGGAGCAGGCCTGTCCAGCAGACAGTGTGTATTATTAGCTTGTCTTCAGCATGTCCTGACCCTTCTCAACACATGCTCTCATCAGAGCATATGGATTCACAGCAGCGTCAGAGGAAGGATGTGTAATTAATTAAGCATCTCTGCTTATTACTGACATTTTTGTGATGAAGTCCAGGCGTGTTATATTTGGAAAATGTTCTTACTCTGTTGTTGCTCAGCATTTGCTTTGTCTTTCAAATGAGGAATAGTACAAGCAATTAGTCAAATCTCAAGTTGTCAACCAAAGGTGTTGGAAATATGACAAGCATATGTAGTGGCTTGATAAATGTAAAAAGCTCTTTCCTTTGATGTCATGCATAAAGACATCTGACATAAAGCAAGCTTAATTATGGTATTGTGCATTTTGTAATATACAGTTGCATACATGGCTCTGAAAGGATGTGTTTTTTAAAGAAATTTCCTGAAAATGTGCTCACCCTTAGGCCATCCAATATGTAGATGAGTTTGTTTCTTCATCAGATTTGGAGAAATATAGCATTACATCACTTGCTCACCAATGGATCCTCTGCAGCGAATGGGTGCCCGTCAGAATGAGAGTCTAAACAGCTGATAAAAATATCACAATAATCCACACCATTCCAGTCCATCGGTTAACATCTTGTAAAGTAAAGAGCTAGGCCTACATGTTTGTAAGAAACAAATCCATTATTAAGATGTTTTTAACTTCAAACCATGAGTCCATAACCCATAATTATGCATCCTCCAGTGGAAAAGTCCACCCCCTGTTGTCCTCTCAGATTTGTGCAAGTGTGTATATTTCTCACCAGATTCAGACAAGAATATTATGAATAGAGGACTCTTAAAGAAAATGAAAAATTGTTGACATTTTCTGAAGATCAAGTTTGCTATTGAAATGTCAAGATGTGGTTGAATTGGCATCAGGGCTTGTACTTATGAAACATTTCTAAATTGGATTGCTGCATCTGTACAGTAAATGGAGCCTATTCTTTATTAATTGCATCATGCAGGTACATGGACTGAAAGACAGAACCCAGGACCTCAGGAAATCTCTCAATGATTCACTGGAAGGGGACATCAGAGACTTCCTTATCAATGAAGCTGAACTTCACACGTACGATGACCTCACTAAAGTCAACCCGGTTACGCCTTCTACAGGTACATTGTGCAAAAGCGCTTGGGATATATGTCTGTAACTATTGGTCATTTTTCTTCATTGGCCTTATGATGTTTATTGCAAGTGAATAATGTCAAGATTTTTTTTCTTCCCCAATTCAGATGATAGGATATTCTTCCACATTACAATATTTTGATGTCTGATTTTAGTTCTAGCATGTGAAATTCTAGATTGGAGCTTGAATTCTGATTCATAATATTGATAGTCATATCACATCAAAATGTAATTGCGACTTTTTATATTACAATTTTGACTTCCTTTTCACAATTGCGAGTTAACATCTTGCAATTCAGAATTTTTTACTCAGAATCACTTGTTTGTATCTCTAAGAATTGTGAGAAAAAAAACTCAGAAACTCAGAATTGCAAGGAAAAAAGTCAGAATTGTGAGTTGTTATTATTATATTTTATTCTGTGGCAAAAACAAGCTTCTATACCAGTTCTAAATGTCCTATTGTGAGTCAGTGTTGAATTACAGCTGTGGTGTTTTGTGTTTGGCAGTGCTGAAATGTCTGCAGGCCAGGTACAGTGCAAAGGTTTTCTACACACATGCTGGCTGCACGCTGGTTGCCCTCAACCCCTTCCAGCCCATTCCTCACCTGTACTCTCTGGATGTGATGAGGGAATATCACTCCGCTCCTCAACCTCAGGTAAACACGCTCAAGCTTGTCAGTACATCTCCAACGTAAAAATATGGAAGTTACAAATACTTTAGTGTGGAAGCCATAAATATGCTTTAAATACAATGAGGTTTTTATGGTCATATTAGTGGTCTGATTCCTCATTCCGTGCATTGGTAGAAATATGTCAACTGGTTTGGTTTTGCTATAAAATTTAGTTACCAAAAAGTGACTAAACCAACCTGAAGTATTTAGTTTACTGGATTATCATCAGATGTACAGTATCAAAAACAGGCATTATTGATTGACTATGTAAGTAATAAATGAAATATTGTTTGGTTCAATAGGGCTGGGCGATTTTATCGATTAATTCAAATGTAATGTTTTGCCACGATTTTATTTTTTAGAAATCGAGGAATCGCGAATAGAAATATTACCAAACGTTAGAATTAGACATTTTGACAATATGCCGGTGATAACAGTAAAGAGAAAAGAATGATCCAACCGCATGTCAGCGCACGTGATTAACCGCTTACATGTGACGCGCTCATATCACGAGGCGCCATTCACACAGAATACGCTTTTGTGTTGATAAAGATGCGACGTGGGCAGTGGAATAGGAAAAAAAATGCAAGAAGATGGGAGTGAACTTATGTTAATTTGAGCGCCGCGTTTTTAGACTGCCGTTTCATAAATGAGACGCTGCAAAAGACGCGAGCGCAACTGTCAAACACGTCCATGTTTACATAGTAAAAACAATCGAAAAGCAGCGCAATCGAATAAAAAAACCTGTAACTACTACTGTATGTCTGATATTTAATGTTTGCATCATGGTGACAGGCTGAAAGCTGCTGTTGTTTTTACAGAACATTTATAGTTAATAATAGTCTACTTGTGTTATACCTTAAGTCATTTTGAATTTGAATTACCTTGACTTTTGAGATTTTTTTTTGTTTTTTTTGTTAAAACCCTAGTTGTTTGGGTTTTAAGTGTTGTCTTTTGAAACAAGAGATCTGTACCTCCCTTTCAAATGCTTTTATTGCGTAGCAGATGACAGGACGATGTTTAGTCAATCCATTTGTCTTTTATCATAGCAGAGGACAGTGTCAAAACTATGTTTGCACACCTGGTCTGTTCAGTAAGCTGCAGGTTCAGTGGTATTAAATGTAAAGTTAATGAGTCCGTCTTTAACTTTATATTTAATACAGCACCAAACAGTCTGTGTTTTTTGTTACATGTTGTTGTCACCTTATCATTAACTTGCACAATAATTAAATTAAGTAAAATGTAAGCTATTATTTTATTATTTATGAGGTTTGAACTTTTCATATTGTGCCGTTGGCCAGTAACCTTGACAATACTTTGCTCTGCATGTTTATTTTGACATCAAAGAATGTTAATGAAAAAATTGCAAATCAGGAAGTTAGATAAAAATAAACTGTGGCCCCTCTAGATATTGACTAAACATTTAAGGACATTTTTTGAAACGGGTAAAGGCAGGTTATATAATATCAAAGACTATAGAATACACAAGACGTGCCACTCGTATAGTTTTGAATGGGGAAAAATGCAACGCTCAATATGGCTGCTCTATCGAGCGGCACTTGCATGCCCGAGAGGCGTTTCAAAGATGGCCGCCGAGTGACATGACTTGCCTTAAACTTTGATTATATGCACTGAAGCATTTGCCATCTCAACCTGATTTACAGAAAGCACTGTTATACAGAAAGCAATGTTACAGCATCTTTTTGTACACAGGAGTTTAAGCCACACATCTTCATCGTAGCAGAAGAGGCTTATAGGAACGTGCAGGGCCAGGTGGAGCCCATGAACCAATCGCTGGTCGTCTCTGGAGAAAGCGGAGCTGGGAAGGTAAGTGATGTTTGTTTGGTGTAATTTCGTAGATCATGTTTTACAGCTATGGCATGATATTAAAGGGATCCAAAAACAGGCCTAGCTCTATGTAAACATCTCAGTGCTTTACTCTGAGTTGCTCTATTCTTAAATGCCAGTCACTTTGTAAATCAGCATCACATTGTGACAGATTCATAAAACATTCCCAGCTGAAATGTGCTGCTCAAACGGTTCAGATCAGATTACAGTTACCAAAACACACCCGTTTAAAATAAACCCACTGCTTGTTTTTAACTTTAGAAGTTTAGAAAGCCTTTTTTGCTATATGTTTCAATAAAGTCTCTAAAAAATAAAGGAAATTATGATTTCTCATTATTTACAGTCTTTAAATTAACTGTCAAGCTCAATATTTCAAATACATACAGTACTAAATTTAGGACTGATCTGAAAACAGTAAAATCTCAACATGATTTAGACCACATCTCCTTTATTAAATATCTCCTCAGACATGGACGTCACGCTGTCTGATGAAGTATTATGCCACTGTAGCCACCTCTTCTCAGAAGTGCCAGGACACTGTAGAGAAGATAGAAAGACGAGTACTGGACTCCAACCCAGTCATGGAGGCGTTTGGTGAGGAATACAGGGATCAGTTGATGTTTCAGTCTCATTTCCTCTCTGAAGATCTGTGATATCTTCATTACATGCTTTCTAAAAGCCTTTATTTTCCTTTTCCTTCTTCCCCAGGGAATGCCTGCACTTTACGCAATAGCAACAGCAGTCGCTTTGGAAAATACATTCAGCTTCAGCTCAACGGGTCAGTTTTGCTTTCACTTTGTTTCACACATGGAAATGAACCTGGAGAATCTTGTGATTGGTGTAAAGGTATGTGATTTTTTTTTAATGCAGCTCTCAGCTGCTGGTTGGGGCATCAGTGCAGACGTATCTTTTGGAGAAGACCAGAGTGGCTTTCCAAGCACCAAATGAGAGAAATTTTCACATATTCTACCAGGTAAATTAAGAGACTGCATTCACAAAATTAACCAGGAATAAAAATACTACCAAAGTATATACTGTCATAAGCCACTTTTCCACCAAAATTACCTGGAAAAATTTGTCCCAGGAACTTTTTTCCCCAGACCTGTTGCTGTCTGTGTTTCCATCGCGGCCTAAAGTACAGTGAAAATTAGACAAATAGTCTGGTGACGCAGGACTGCGCGCGACTGCTCCTCCCAGTCCAGGGCCGTTTCTCAATACCAAGTACGCAAATTTCGGACTTGCGTCCTTGGTAGTTTGGACAACGCAAGTCCAGTAATTCTGCAAATGGAACAGCAGTGTACTTGATAACGTCAGTCAGCTCGCCTTGGCTACTGCAGTTTTCCTCACTGTATTTACAATAAGACGAAATATGATGTCAAACACCACTGCCTCTTTTTAAACATGGTCTATTAATAGCCGCGGAAATGTAGTTCAGGGAACGTACATACAGTACATTACAATGAAACAAAATATTAAATCAAACAGCATTGCCTCTTTTCATTTTCATTTGAATAAAGTTATAAATATTATATATTATATATAAATTATATAACAGCTACGTCAGGCCATAAAAGATTCTTACAGGAAGGGGGACAGAGTCTTGTATAAGCGAGAAAGAAAGCAGATCACTGGAGCTGTGCAAAGTCCCTTCATGCTTCAAACGCTCCACCATCATCCCCATCCCAAAGAAACCCAAAATTACAGGACTAAATGACTACATGCCTGTGGCTCTAACGTCTGTGGTCATGAAGTCATTTAAAAAACTGGTGCGGGCCCACCTGAAGGACATTACTGGACCCTTGCTGGATCCTCTTCAGTTTGCCTACAGAGCAAACAGGTCTGTGGACGATGCAGTAAACATGGGACTGCATTATCAAACAGCATTGCCTCTTTTCATTTTCATTTGAATAAAGTTATAAATATATAAATGTGTACGTAAATATATGTAAATTTATATAAGTATATAAAGTTATGAAACATAACTTTGTGCTCAGCCAAAACGATATGACCTGGAACAAATAGTAGATTCATGAGACCAATGATTACCTGTTAGATTTACCCAAAATAAATTATATCTCATGTTTAGCCACTACAGAGACATCAGAGCCAGCGGCAAATGTCAGAAGGACTAGCCGAGATTAGGCTGCTCTCGTTGGGATACATGAGCACTGAGCGCACGGTGATCACCTGGAGCTCACATCTCAGAAATCGGCGAAGCACATTTTCAAATAGGTGCTGTCTTTATAAATAAACCGCAGATTTGAGTTTTAAACAACTACATTCTTGCCTGAAATATTTTTAAAACTACATTTCATGACTCAGTGTTTCGACTCGTGATTACGCTACTGATGGCTGCCTCCGTGGCGTGCTCCGCAGTTGTTTTTATGTTTTTGTTGACTTCAGCTCGGCTTTTAACACTATAATCCCAAACCTCCTCTTGCCCAAATTAACTCAGCTCTCCGTGCCCACCTCCATCTGTCAGTGGATCACCAGCTTCCTGACAGACAAGCAGCAGCAAGTAAAGCTGGGAATATTCTCATCCAGCACTCGCACCATCAGCACTGGCGCCCCTCAGGGATGTGTCCTCTTCCCACTGCTCTTCTCCCTGTACATGAACGACTGCACTTCAAAGGACCCCTCTGTCAAGCTCCTAAAGTTTGCAGACGACACCACACTTATCGGCCTCATGACGGAGACGAGTCTGCTTACAGACAGGAGGTTAAAGAGCTGGCTGTCTGGTGCAGTCTTAACAACCTGGAGCTTAACATGCTCAAAACTGTGTAGATGATCGTGGACTTCAGGAGAACTGTACTTATCCAGAGTGAGCAAAAGGGCTGGCAAAATCACTCTGGACCCCTCACATCCAGCACACTCCCTCTTCGAACTGTTGCCATCTGGTCAGCGCTACAGAGCACTGCGCACCAGAACGGCCAGGCACAGGAACAGTTCCTTCCTTCAGGCAATCCATCTTATGAACACTTGACAATAATTGTGGAACACACAACCTATTCTGATGTTTTGCTGGACATTGTAGTTGGCGGAGCAGCGGCTCTGATCAAACGCTTCAGGATGCGCAAGCGTGGGAAGCGAGCCGGCGCGCTCGTGAAGCTCTGACAGCGCGGATTTCGAACGGCGCTGCCTAGCATCCATCTGGCGAGCCTCCGCTCTCTACCCAACAAAACGGACGAACTCCTTCTGCTCTCTTCTTTTATTATCTGTGTTTTTGTCCTGTCACTGTCATTCTGTTGCAATGTGGAAGCTTCTGTCACGAAAACAAATTCCTCGTATGTGTAAACATACCTGGCAAATAAAGCTCATTCTGATTCTGATTCTGATTCAATAACAGTAATATTTTGAAAATTATGCGAATAAATGGTGGTTGAAATACAATGCTGCATTAACTCAACCAATCAGCATGTTCAGCGCCCAAGTCCCACCCCCAAAATTTCCTGACCTTTGAAAAAGTACTACCTCGCGAGCAGGGGCTTTCTGAGGGGCAAATTTTTACCCGGAACTTTATTTAGATCCTGGTTCCTGCGGTGGAAACACATCAGTACCGCCCCAAAGTCCCTAGTTCCTGGGGAAAGTTCCTGCGGTGGAAATGGGCTTATATATTTTATTCGATTATTTCCAGTAATACGGTAATTCTATGTTGGTGTGTATGTTGGTTGTTTATTATTGGTTTTATTTGAAGATGATGAAAGGAGCCACAGAGAAACAGAGACTGGAATGGATGCTGCCTTTGGAGCAAGACTTTGCTTGGTTGCCACATGCTGAGAAAACCTTAGAAGGCAAGGATTGTACTTCAAGAATTTGTATTTTGAAGCATGAAAGTCAATTTTATGAGGAATTTGAGGAGGCACTGTGATATTGACATTTTGCATTCTGTTTGTTTGTGTCTGAGCAGAAGACTGTTTGCAAGAGACAGTGGAAGCCATGATCAACCTTGGCATTGATGAGGGGAAACGGACACAGATTTTTAGGGTAAGTGATAATGGTAAAATTATATCAAAACCTCAATGATGATTGGAGATGAATGGTAACCATGTTGGTTGGTGTTTGATTGTTATGTTTTTATATACTGAATACACTTAGTTGTTTGGACTAATTAATTGAACTTGTTAAATGACCGTAATGATGTTATAAAGACCGTATTTATATAAATAGTGGGTGGAGACTCTAAATTACTTCACTCACTGAAAAAATTTACCTTTTGATTTATGAATGTGAATCATCATGTAGTTTTTGATGCACGTTATGTGGATTCATGTACCAAAATAAGACTGCACAGTAGACAAGAAAATGAAGTGTAAACTACTTTGTTAATGGGAGAATTTTTTGGAAAAAAATATTATACTGTAGTTTGTAAAATGACAAGATTGTTGACTTTTTGCAAAGATCCTTGCAGGTCTTCTGCAGCTGGGGAATGTGGACTTCAGTCCTGCATCAGAAGAGGCTCAGTCATGTGATCTTGATGGACACTCAAAAGGTGTGATGTGTTTCTGCTGTATTGTTTATATAAAAAGCTAAGTTATGACAGTGAATTAGGCAAGATGCATATTCCAGACATGATGAGGCAAAGTACTTTTATGGATGATACAAGTTTATTTCTGGGCTGTGACGTGTCCCTATTACATTCCTCCTCTCACCAGCAATTCGCTGTGGCACTTTGCTCTAAACACTACTGGTCAAAATTTTGGTGTCGGTAACAATTTCTAATGTTTTTGAAAGAAGTATCTTCTGCTCTCCAAGGCTGAATTTATCTGATCAGTAAAAACCGTAATATTGTGAAATATTATTACAATTTAACTGTGAAATGTGAATATATTGTAAAATGTTATTTATTGCTGTGAATTTTCAGCATCATTACTCCAGTCTTCAGTGTCACATGATCCTTCAGAAATCATTCTAATATGTTGATTTGCTGCTCAAGAAACATTTCTGATTATTATCAATGTTGAAAACAGTTGTGCTCTTTCATATTTTTGTGGAAACCATGATACATTTTATTTTTCAGGATTCTTTGATTATATATATATATATATATGTATTTGTGTGTGTGTGTGTATATATATCGGTATCTGTCGTATACAGAAGCCAAAGCCGTTAGTAAAGACGTGTTGACATTAGTAGCTTGTGTTGATCACTGTTCTCTCTCTCTCTATGCTGTGTGCAGGTTTCCTGCAGAAAACCGCTTACCTGCTGCAGGTGCCGTTAGACGAGCTGCAGTCGTGTCTGACCGTGAGAACTCTGCGCGCTGGCAAACAGAGCGTCCTCAAACCTTGCACTCAGTCGGAGTGCGGCGTCCGCAGAGACTGTCTGGCTAAAGTCATTTATGCACAGTGAGTCGTATGAACTAGGTTTGACATTTTATGAGATGCTTACAAACAAAAACACACTCTCTATGTTGCATTTCATATATAATGAAACTAAATAAAGCAAGTGCTGTAGAGTGCTAAAGCAAGTGCTGTAGAGTGCTGAAGCAAATAGTTTTAATGAACAAATTTCAAGTCTTGATTTTTTTTTTCTTCCCATTTACAGGCTGTTTGACTGGTTAGTCACTTTCATAAACAACAGTATGTGTGCAGACAATCCCACGTGGTGCAACTTCATTGGTACAAATTCTAATTATTCACTAATTTAATTTTAATATATTGCTAAATATATTACTTACTAGTCAGAATATAATGTGTCAAATCATATATTTTTTTTCTGAATGGAATGAAAATACTTCTAAAACACATTTAATCCTTGGCTGCTGTCTTCTACAGGCCTGCTGGATGTGTACGGTTTTGAATGCTTCCTCCTGAACAATCTGGAGCAGTTGTGCATTAATTATGCTAACGAGAAGCTGCAGCAGCACTTTGTGGCTCATTACCTGAAGGCCCAGCAGGAGGAGTATGTGACTGAGGGGCTGCAGTGGTCCTTCATACGGTACCAAGACAACCAGGGCTGCCTGGACCTGATTGAAGGCAGTCCTTCCAGCATTTTCTCCCTGCTCAATGAGGTCAGCTTGCACTTCTTATCTCAGAGAGGGAAATCAGAAAAAGATGTGATGCATATTTGCATCACAAATGTAGTGACTGCCTTTATTTATAGCTTTATCTTGCATAGTGAAAGAGCTTTTTTAGTAGCACTAATGAGTTTATTCTTTCTTTCTCTTCATTCTGTCTTTCTCTTTCTGTATTTCTGATTCTTTGGCGTCTGTCTGTCTGTCGTCCAGGAGTGTCGTCTGAACAGAGCATCGGATGCGAAGCAGTTTCGTGTGCGTCTGCAGAAGGAGCTCTCAGATAACGCCAGCATCAGCTGGGACAAACTCAGCAAAGAGCCCCATTTTACTGTGGCCCACTATGCAGACAAAGTCAGTTACCAGATTGAGGGCATGATGGAGAAGAACAAGGTGCAAACTATATAAGTAGTAGCATACATAAACTATGTGGCTTGTCTATGCTGAAATTTCTTCCTTTGGGATTAATGAAGTTTATAAAGTGCCTGAATGTCCATTTGTTCTGTAGGACCCGGTTCCCCCTGAGATCATCAGTCTCCTGCAGAAGTCCCAGGATTCATTGCTGCACAGTCTCTTTGCTGACGGTGACCGTGAGAGCGAGGGGTCTAGAGGACACAGTAAAGTGGTCACTGTTGTCTCCAAATTTAAGGTACAGATTTTTAAGAGTAAAAATTAAGCTGTTAGTGTATTACATTTTGTTTATTGAAAGATTTCTTTCTGTTGTTTTAAATGATTGTGTTTTAGCTCTTAATCATTATGATTCACATTATAAGATGATTAGACATACAGCGGGTAAAATAAGTATTGAACACGTCACCATTTTTCCCAGTAAATATATTTCTAAAGGTGCTGTTGACATGACATTTTCACCAGATGTCGGTAACAACCCAAGTAATCCATACATACAAAGAAAACAAAACAAATAAGTTCAGAAATAAAATGGAATGACACGGGGAAAAAGTATTGAACTACTGAAATCTATTTAATACTTTGTACAAAAGCCTTTAATGGTAATGGCAGCTTCAAGACGCCTCCTGTATGGAGAAAATAGTCGCATGCATTGCTCAGGTGTGATTTTGGCCCATTCTTCCACAGAGTCTTCAAATCTTGAAGTTTCCGTGGGCCTCTTCTATGAACTCTGATCTTTAGTTCTTATTTTCTATTGGATTCAAGTCATTGGCTGATTGGCTGGGCCATTCTAGCAGCTTTATTTTCTTTCTCTGAAACCAGTTGAGAGTTTCCTTGGCTGTGTTTGGGATCATCGTCTTGCTGAAATATCCACCCTTGTTTCATCTTCATCATCCTGGTACTGTAGGTGTTGGGACTGAACCAGCTAATATTAATTTCCACTGACAAGGGGCAGGGTTGCTTTCTAATTACTGATAGATTTCAGCTGGTGTCTTGGCTTTCTATGCCTTTTTGCACCTCCCTCTCTTCATGTGTTCAATACTTTTTCACTGTGTCATTCCATTTTATTACACACAACTTAATTTCTGAACTTATTTGTTTTGATTTCTTTGTATGTATGGATTACTTGGGTTGTTACCGACATCTGGTGAACATTTCAAGTCAACGGCACCTTTAAAAATATATTTACTGAGAAAAATGGTAACGTGTTCAATACTTATTTTACCCGCTGTAATTTTGTTGTCCCAGTACATTTTATATTCTTGATTGTACAAACAGGTCAAAGGTGAAGTTTTAAAGAAGACTGATACAGATACTGCATTGTTTTTAGACTGACCTGCATCTGTGTTTAATATAATCATTTGTTTGTCTTTCTGTGAATATGCAGAACTCTCTTGAAAGCCTGATGAAGATTTTGCACAGCACCACGCCGCACTACACGCGCTGCATCAAACCCAACCCCGACTGCAGACCGCTCACCTTCAAAAAGGAAGAGGTATGAAAAACAGATGCATTTCTGTCAGATTTCACTTGGGATTCCCTTGAGAGTTGCAGATTTATAGTTCACGGCTTGGTTAGTGAGTCTCGTTTTGGTTTGCGTTCAGGTTATCGCTCAGCTTGAGGCCTGTGGGATAGTAGAAACCATAAACATCAGTGCAGCAGGATTTCCCATCAGGTAACACTACAAGCACATCTCAAGCTCTGCATTTAACAAATAATACACTCAATTTTACAGCAAATAATTTAATTCAAAAGAAGCGGGACTACGTTCCAGAATTTGGTATATTTCATATCACCTCAAATTTAGAGATGTTATTACAGAATTCCTTTCAGAATAAAAACGAAATTGTTTTTGTATTATTTGTACAGGATCCCATATGGCAGTTTCCTCCAAAGATACGGGCTGATTGCAAACGCCAGACTAACTGCACAAATGAACCGAGCGAACAGTACGTAGAACATGATGTGCATACAAAGTACTGTGTTTTTTTCTGTTCTCCTGTTTAATAACTGAATCCTGTCTTTTCTTTCAGTATCCTTCTCTCATTTCTTTCTGTCTTTAATGAACACAGTGCTTAAAATAATGTGAATTACAGGTGAATTACTGCATGCTTATTTAGTGGATATTTTGCATGCAGTGATGCATTTGCTTGCATTTTCTTCTTTCTCTCTTCACTATTTCCCTCTTACTAATGTCTTTTGTAGAAATTAATAGATCTTTGTTCAAGTGGTTGAATTTTTTTTTGCACGTGGTTTCATGTCACTGCTTGTGGGATTTGATACAAATAAGAATTTCTTAGATGTGCACATTAGTTGGTTGAACCCCAGTAAAAATCTGTTTTAAATCTCAGATAAACCAAGGGAGCTCAATGCCGTTCCTAAAGATCTACCTTACTGCAGAGACTAAATCTAATCAAACACACCTAAACCAACTAAGCTAGGTATTGAAAAATACAGGTGTGGTAGAGCAGGATTGGGAGTAAAATCTACAGGAAGGTGGATTCATGTGAACAGGACTGAACATGTCTGCTCTAATACCTAGACCTACCACGAGTCAAAACAAGCTTTTAACTAAACATGATGCACCTATAAGATGACCCTAAAGTGCTTGATTTCAGTTGCATTAAGGCAAGACACTTCAGGTGATCAGGGTAAAGTTTTCGGCTAATAAATGTCATTATACTTCCCCAATTGATTTATCACAGTGCATTAACAGTTGTTTGTAATACAAGTTTTCTTAAATGTTATGTTTAATGTGCAAATGAGGCATTATCTAATTAACTACGCATAAATTTGCATATTTTTTTTATTACTATTTTTAAAGAATAAACTGTTATATAAATCGGGTAAATGATATATGACCAAACCATACTGTAAAAACCTTTAGAATTTAGATAGGAATAAAATTGCAAAGTTGAAAAAGCACTTAAAAATGTGTATTTTGGGTGTTTTCTTTCCAGTAGTCTTAAAGAAGACATGTTATTGAAAGCAAAATACCCCAAAATCTCAACATTGACCAGTGCATGAAATGCATTGGTTTTATTTGCAGTGTCTTGCCTTAAAACACAATAAAAGTATCATAAACATGTATTTCTAAAGCTCATCTTTCACTCACAGGCCCTGAGATGAGTGATCAGGCTGTTCTGGGATCTGCTGTAGAGGATGTGCTCAATGTGGTCTTCAAGAGACGCGCCCCAAACAACAACAACAACATGGTGCACTGTGGCAGGACCAAAGTCTTTCTCACACACTCCCTGGTAAAGCGTGCACTCTGAATACTTATGATTGTAATGCAATTTGTAAAATGTCCGTTTGCGCTGAGGCAGCTGTTGAAAGTTCACTGAACTCTTTCAGCCTGTTTACTCTGTCTCAGCTGATGCAATCACAAGCTGTCAGATGTGTTTTAACTTGATGTCAGTAGTTAATTTATCATGTGTTGTGCAGCTGGAGATGCTTGAGGAGCACAGGAACAGGGTGCGCTCACAGAAGGCGTTCTGTATCCAATGCTGCTGGCGCAGGTACCAGACCCGTCAGCGTAACCGGAGGACACAGGCTGCCACCCGCTTACAAGCAGGTTAGGATTTAACATCTTTATTTTGCGATTACAGGTAGTATGGTTGTATAACAAATAGGGCTGCACAATTTGGGGAAAAAAATTTGTGAGCCAAAATTTTGTGGTTATATATCAATATGGCTATTTAATGAATAAATGAATAATTATTATTATTACTACTACTACTACTAAATTAAAATATCAAAAAAATTACTAAATAAAAACAAAATAACTAATATTACTATTGTAATATTTCATTGTAAAAAAAAAAAAAAAAAAAATCATTTAAGAATTGTATTTATTTATGCACTTCTCAACAGTAAAATTACAATAATAATATTGTGGCTGTCTTAAGTTTGTCATTTTAACCATTACGTTAAACCATTGAACTTTTATTTGGACAGAAAACCGAATAGAGAAGTCAGAGCTTCTCTTTTGTTGAAAAACGCTTCTCATTACAACTTTGCCTTTGCGATTTAATAATTGCATTAAGCTATATTGCAATTTCAGTTTGCAATTTTGATTAATCATGCAACACTAATGACAGATAACCTTGTTCTAGACTTTTCACAGTTATTGCTAAATATTAAAGCTGGGAATAAGCTGGTTGTGTTTGTAGACACTTTTAGACAGCTTAAGAGATAAAGTGCACAAGCGAGAAGACATTATTCCTCAGGAATAGACCCAGTGACTGTGCATTTCTCTCTGAGCTCTGCCTGGCTGAAGGAGCAGACATCTGCTGTGCGTCTAGACGCTGACACCTGATCAACTTCCTCCTGATTATCCCTTAAACTCAGAACAGAACAGATGCAGCTCACCTGAGCCAAACACCTGCTTCACTGACATTAGTAGAGCCAAAGGCCAAATCAGACCACACTAATTTTATAGTGCATATCATGCAGTATTGAAGATGTAGGGCTGCATGAGTAATCAAAGTTAAACCAAAAGCACTGTGTTCATTTACACGTGAGCAGCTCATTGTGTGCCATGACTTCAGTGTCTCAGAGTGTCTCTGTTCACAGTAAATGCTGCTTATCACAAACTCCATATCTGCATCTGTCGGAGTTTAAATCCTAAGACAAAACGGCTCTATATCCAGTATTTGTACAGTATTATATGTGACCCTGGACCACAAAACCAGTCATAAGGGTCAATTTTTCAAAATTGAGATTTATACATCATCTGAAAGCTGAATAAATAAGCTTTCCATTGATGTATGTTTTGTTAATATAGCACAATATTTGGTCGAGATGCAACTATTTGAAAATCTGGAATCTGAGGGTGTAAAAAAATCAAAATATTGAGAAAATCGCCTTTAAAGTTGTCCAAATGAAGTTCTTAGCAATGCATATTACTAATCAAAAATGAAGTTTTGATATATTTACAGTAGGAAATTTACAAAATATCTTCATGGAACATGATCTTTACTTAATATCCTAATGATGTTTGTCATAAAAGAAAAATCAATACTTTTGTTACTTTTATTCATCAAGGATGCATCATAAAAGTAAAGACATTTATAATGTTTCAGAAGAATTGTATTTTCAAATAAATGCTTTTTTTGTATTAAAAAATACTTTCTAGTCATCAAAGAATTTTGAAAAAAAAAAACAAACTAATAAAAATAGGCAGCAAAAACACAACATTTTCAACATTGATAATAATAAGAAATGTTTCTTGAGCAGCAAATCAACATAGAATGATTTCTGAAGAATCATGTGACAATGAGGACTGGAGTAATGATGCTGAAAATTCAGCTTTGATCACAGGAATCAATTGCAGTTTAAAATATATCCACACAGAAAACAGTTATTTAAAATTGTAATAATATTTCAAATTTTTACTGTGTTTTTGATCAAATAAATGCAGCCTTGGTGAGCACAAGAGACTTC